TGTGTGTGTGTGTGTGTGTGTGTGTGTGTGTGTGTGTGTGTGTGTGTGTGTGTGTGTATGCATGTGTGTGTGTGCGTGTGTGTGTGCAGGCATGGCTTTGCGTGCGAGCAGTGTGGTGTGGTGTGGTGTGGTTCGCTGGTGTGGACCAGTGGAAAAAATAAACGGGGGCTCGGGGCGATTTAGCCCCCGAAATGCCAAAAAGAACCCACGTAAATTTGCATAGAGTTCAATGCAAACCAAATTTTAGAGTGCTATTTTTATGCACGCGAGCTTGAAAAGTAGCCCCCAAAAAATAAATTATATTTTTTTCCCTGGTGTGGACACTCACCTCTGCTGCTAGCTGTGCGACATGGAGTGCAGTGAGAGGCGTCTGCTCAGCCGTCTTCATGACGACAGTGTTGCCCGTAGCGAGCGCTGGTCCCAGCTTCCACGCTTGCATCAGCAGCGGAAAGTTCCACGGGATGATCTGCCCGCACACGCCGATCGGCTCGTGTCGCGTCCAACACATGTGATCGCCATCTAGCGGTAGAAATACACGACATGTTACGCCATCTAGCGGTAGAAATACACATGACATGTTACGCCATCTAGCGGTAGAAATTAAATCAAGTGTGAATAATACATATACTATTGGTTCTTGATTTTAAATGCATACAAGTATGTGTTTAATGCAGGTATTTTTCTGGTATTCGAAAAGGGGTAATAGACTAGTTGTGCAGAACGAAGTTCACCCAGGCCAGGGATCATTGCCTGCCTAGAGCACGAGAATATTTTGTTTTTTGTTATTTTTTGGGTGAATTTTGGGAAGGAATCAACTTAAAGGGATTACGTCACGAATTTTCTATGGTAAAATTTGTAAAAAAAAATTCCCATTTTTTTACATTAAAAGTAAGAACTAACGAGACTAAACAAATCGTCAAATTCTTACCTGATAAGATTGTTTCTCAACTAGCTAAAAATCCTAAAAAACCTGGACGATTTGAATTAATGTTGTCTAACATTCATTGCTTGCTATGGGCTATGTATGGGTCACGAGTGTATGTTCACATCGAACAATATAGTAAAATAGGAATGTGAAGTGTAATGCAGCAATTTAACCATAAAATGTAAACAGAATTACTTATATTTTGTGAAAAAGTGGAAATATTTTTTTTATTTTTTACTATTTACGGTGACGTAATCAACTTAAGTAATAAAAGAATTTAATTATAAAAATTTTACTAACCTACCACCACTAAGCACTAACCACTATATTTCTGAACAAAAAAAGGTAGAATTTGAAAAGGTTGTATTGTGTATCCTACTGTAAAGTATGGTTTGCAGATGGTAAAATAGT